TCTCTCCTTTCATAGTACACTGTAACCATGTTCCCCCCCCCCCCCCCCCATTTCCTCCAAATATACAAAACAGTGTCAACTAGGTCGACGATCTATAGATTAATCACATTCAGGTGTTTGTGTAATTCGGTTAGCGAGAAGGAACTTCTTCGTTTAGCGTTAATTAAAAGGACCGCGATGCACCTATTTAATAAGCACGTGTAGCGTGCACACGCAGTCGGTTGCCTGGCTGTCATTCTCACTCAGTGAACGGTATCAGTCTGTCCGAGCAAGCAGGCGTACTGATGGACGCGTCCAGAGGCAAAGTGGACACGGAGGACGTTGCTGGACGGTCGTCTTCGTCGGTTATCGGGGATCGTGGCGATAGGAACGCCAGCGGCGACGACACGGTGGAGGAAATACGTAAGAGTGATGCGGAGTCCAGGTGTCAGAGGTCGAAGTGCACGATGTCGAGAGACGTGACTGCTGTTAAACCTCTGAAGTTTGGCACGTCCTGTGTCGTCAGTTCGGACATAGACACGGTGACAAGTGGAAGCACGAAGGAGGAGGTGGCTTCCGCCTTGACGAACAGACAGTCGAAAGACGTGGAGGCGGAGGAGGAGGAGGACAAGGACGAGGTTAGAATCGATCATTTGGAAGTACCGGAGAAGGACCTCGAGGATCTAAGCTTGAAATCCGACGGTGACAACTCGGTGTTCAGCGACAATCCGGACACTCAGGTGCTGTCGCAGCAGCATCAACGTATCGAGAACCAGCCGGCCGATCAGCCAAAGCCGAACGATCAGTCCGAGAACGAGTCTGAGGAGCTCGATGACATCGAGCTGATATTCACAACGGACGAGACTTGCCGCGATCTTCGCCTTCAGGAGGATCTCGTCTCCATAACGGAGACCGAGACCTGGCAACAGCCTGCGTCTACCGGTCAACCGGCATTGCTGAAGTACACGAAATCAGCCGATGGTGAATTAGTTTGCAATGGCGAGAAGACCAGCTCCGTCGACGAGGCGGTCTCTTCGCAGAGTTCGAGCATCGATCGCGAGGAGAGCGTGGACAGGTTCGACGAAAGCTCCAGCACCAGACTGAACAAAATATGGTCACAGTGTTCGGTGTTGGTCGAGACGGACATCAGCAAGTGCGGCGTTGTCGAGGAACCTGAACATCCTACCAGACACGCGGTCAGAAGGAACACTTTGGCTGCACCACCTACCGCCTACAGGTAACTGACAGCTTCTCTCCCTCCCCCAAAGAATATGTTCAGCGCACGAATTTCGTTTCGTTTGTCTCCAAACTTGTCTTGTTCATTTACGAGAAAGAAGGAGAATTAAATGATTATTATCCAATTAGTATTCGTTATTAATATTAATTAATATCGGAAAATTGAAAAAAATTTATACCAAATATCGTAATATTATTTTTGAAGAAAGTTGAACCGATTCGCTTGAACGGATGTATTAAACAGAATTTTATATCTCGTACGGCACTTTAGTCTGTACTTGATGAAAGTCTCTCACGTTAATATACACACATGTATATACATGTATATGCATGTATTCGTTGAAAGTACTTTAATTAGCTGCTCGGTACTTAACAGCTATAAAACGTTTTCACTTACTACCGCCTCTTTTTTTCTTTTCTCCATTTGCCAAGGTTTGTAATAAATACAGGCACATACACGGAATGACGGTTTAATTATGTTTCCTGTTCATCAGCGAGCACGCGTAGTCATACGTGCAATTTAATTACGTCGCAATTTAGTTATTAAAGGCATTCGTTACTTTGCCATTTGCTTAATTTTTGTTACATTGAAATTATCGTTATTTGCGATCAAAATTACTTCGTCAAACGAAGTTTTTTTTTTTTTTTTTTTCTTTTATTTATGCAAATCCACAGCATCGATTGAAATATTTCGAACGATTTTCAAATTTACTTTCTTAGTTTGATAATTTCAGGTTCGTTAAATGAGAATAATCGAGTAAGGAAAGTGTTGTGTATCAGAAATTGGCTTTGATTCTGATACAATTATAGGTTAGAAATTAGATCAGAAGCCACAGTTGGTGGTCTAATGGTATTCAGGTGTCAATGATGAGCAGCTAATAGTTCAAAATTGCATGTAATTCGATTCGAAATTTTGTTGCAGATAATTTAACGCTCATTATTTCATAACACGCCATCTTTGAAGTCACTTCACAAGTGTTGAACAAATTATGTCGTTCACTTGCACATTTTATACAGTCTAATTAAATCTACATTCAAGGATGTAATTTATTATAAGAAATATTCTTACTTAAAATTTCCCATCTTCCACTTAAAGATTGAAGTTTTATTACCTTTTCTTTATTTTCTTCCTTTCTCCTCATCCAATTTCAAAGAAATACTTGATCATCATGTAACAATACTCTATAATACTTGCAGGATAGAAAAAGCGTAGAGAACTTTAAATATCTCGACATATTCAGGAAAATGATAAAACGGTTGATAGAACGTGCTAATAAAAATAAAGTAGCATCACCATCTTGTTGTTTGATCTTCTGAAGAATCATGCATAAATACCTGGACATTTCCAAATAATTGCATAACGTTTTTTATTCGAATCTGTTCAATTTAATAGTAACAACATGCACAGATAATAGATATTGATAGTTTCGCAGAGATTTGCAAGTACGTCCGTGTTCGTTGTTGAAATTTTAGAACCGCCCAAAAAAAAAATTAATAACAGAAAAATTATGTCGTGATAAGAATCTCAAGCTTTTAACAGCATTGCATTAGATCGTCAATTTGCTTTTTTTTTTTTTAGCACGGTAGCTGAAACGCAGTTAGGTTAAGTTAAGTTGAAACGCAGTAATAGGTTAAGATGCAGATTGTGTCTTAAAAGAAAGACTTACACATAGTTGCCCTTTTATCAGGCCAATCATTCACCGCGAAGCTTTAGCTGGTAGCCGACGAAAGAGTGCGGCACCGTTGAGACCGGTGATGGACCGAATTAGCGGGGCAAGGCGAGAGTCTGGTGCCCAAACAGACATTTCTGCGCTTCCAGCCCACTGGCGTTCTGAGAGCTACCTCGCCCACAAAGTAGCTCACACGTTCACCACGTTACCCAGTAAATTTGCTCTGCCGACCGGGGTGCCCGGAAGACTTCGACTGTCCGATAAAACCCGAGAAGCAAGAAGAGTAATGCTGTCCGACATCAGTTTCACTAGCATGGTGCCAGAACTGTCCAGAAGCGCTGATCATCTCTGTCATGATCCACATGCACAGGTAGGATTCGAATTGGGATCAGAGTCTTCGTAATTTTGTAGAATAAAATATTTACAGTTACGACAGAAACAAAGAACAAAGTGTCAGTTTGTGGTGGTTTTAAAAGGTGAAATGAATTCATGGAATTTTAGGTTAGGTTTAGTGTGTAATTGTTTAACGATTAATCGTTCATTTTTACGATTGATCATTCTTTTTGTTCGGTGTTGTCACATTTGAAAAACTGATCGATCAACTTAATTTCAAATTGCTTGTGAAGAAAATATAACTTTGTGAAAGAAAAAAGGGATTGTAGAATTCTACAAGGTCTTGAAGCGTGAAGTGTTTACTTTTACAATATTGACTTGCTTCCTTTCAAAGAGAGTTTCGTACATCATTTTAAAGCGGGATAAGTGGAAATACTTTTCCTCTCGAGAATTCACATCTTTATAAACACTGAAAAATTTTTTTCGCAGCTAACCATTGTTCAGAAGATTCAAGTCTCTCCTCTGCAACGATCGTACAATTTTTTTTGTTACAAAGTTATGTAAACGTTCGAATTGATAATTTTTCATCAAGTGTACGAATACTTTCTACATCTATTGTAGAAAATGAATGGAAAACACGATCTTACAAAAGTCTATATAGAATTACCATATTTACAGTGGTGTAAAAAAAAAACTTATTCTGATACATATTTTATACATTTTAATATGCACGTGGTAATTATGATTTTTCAGTTTTTATTTGTTTTTCAATGAACAAATATAAGAAACATCAATATCTCTTGACTAAACTTAAAAATTAATTAATAGTACTTATGTAAAGTTGTAATTATCAAGTTAAAAAATTAAACCTATAGCATCACTAGTCTGTAAGTTGAATTATGATGGATTTTACAAATCAAATTTTCTACAAGTACTGTAATTATAAAAGTACAGAACAGGCAGTAATAAAACGGTAATAGAAAGATAGTAAATGCAAATTACATCATTCTAATATTTTATGAGCTCGAGGACAAAATATTATTCATTACCAATCATAGTAACTTTTCTTCATTTGTTGTTATAGAATGTTAAAGTAATTCCATTATTGTCAAGTCTTAATCGATATCTTAGTTTTTGTAATCAATATTTTTGCACGTTAATATAGTTATACAATTTTGTACGTATGTTTATTTAAATGTTTGTCTGATAGCTATTATACTTTAAGATGGTGTTATATATTTGTTATATTTGATGACCAATGAATATTCTGTATACTTAACTGATGATGGACAATAAAAGTCTATTCTATTGGTATTTAATAACTTTTTATTTATCGTAATATCTCTCAGTGAATGTGACTCGAAATATCCTAAGTTTTAAGTCAGTTATTAAAATGAAATTATTGTTTTGGAGACTACAAGCAATAATATTAAAGTAACATGTTTTTGATAAAGCAGATGAAAAAAGATAATTAAAGCAAATTTACTTGTGTACACAAAATTCTTATATATTGTTATCAATGTAGCAGACTATTCCTAAAATAGTATAACATTGTTTTATTTATATATATATAAGTTTTGTACACATCTATATAAAATTTTTGTTTTATTTATTGTTTTATATATATATATAAGGCTATCTCCTTTACACACTATTATTACAATACATTGTCACAGTTCATTATTCGAAAAAAATGTTTAATTTTGTAAAATCTATGCATGAAAGAGAAGAACAGTATGTAATACAAGAATATTCTCATTTTTCCTCCTTTCTCATACAAGTATTTTACGAGAATTTTTAAAACTTAAAAATATCTCCTTACTAATAGACAGATTGATACTTTCTTATAGAGAATGTCGAGATAGCTGCATCGTTTAATGAATCAAAAATATATGATTTCATTCGAAGACATGCAGGTGACCTTGAGAAGTCTTCACGAGTCATCATAAGATGTCTCCATCGAAGCAGAACAAGTTCCAATTCCACTTTTTCAAATGATAAATAATTACGGAGACAATTGCACATGAAGGAATTTCAAATGAGATGCGTAGTTTGTACGCATATAGAAATGATTTACGTTGAGCGTGGGTAAAGGTCGAACAAATGAAGCTAATGCAATTCACTTTGACGTTTCGTTTCAATTCCATCTCTTCGTCAACTTGGATGACTAATTGCTTGCATTATCTTGTTTTATTATTATACTACCGGTTCTGAACGTTCATGCGTGGGATCGATACCAATGATATTGTACGATTATATTTCTTTTTGCTTCAAGGCCTCTTTTTGCTGGGAGGAATCTATGATCTCAAATGTCTCATTGAAATACGAATAACAGATTCTCTGTTCGTTCGTATAGAATTTTTCTGCGAATTCGAATCAATTTTGTTCTTCAGTTTCATCCATTGCAATACAAATATATCACCAATTCAACGAAATTCATTCTTCCATTGATGAAATAATTGTAATTATTCGCAACTTCCACATCCTCTAATTCCAATTCGTATTATTCCGTCATTTTGCATTTTCGATCAGATTTCAAAATTAATTCAATTACCATTGCCAGTCATTAAATTCGACAAAATTGGAATCGCAATATTTCCAACTATTTCCCAATGATTTCTAACGATTCGCATTGTGCATTTTGCTTAGACATGTTTCAGTTCGCGCGGCTGCGGCCTTCGAACACCGGACGTGCATCGTCGCGAGTCACTCGGTTCTCCGGCAGGATTTTGGCCTCGTTGCAACCCCAGCACAGGACTTCCGAGTCCTTGCGATTGTCGCTTCTCCACTGACCTTTATTCCTCTCGTTACCGTGGTTCTTTGTCTTCGATCCCGTCGCCTGGATTGGAGGTTGTCGGTGGCCCACCACGAAGACACTCGTGGAGAGCAACTGCAGCGTCCTTCGATACTTGGAGAGTCCCGGTGGCCACTTCTACGCCACGACCAACCTGGTCTATGCCTTCTTCTCCTACACACGTACATCCTCCAGCGACATCCTCGAAAACTTCTAAAAGCGTCCCAAAGAGAACGCGGTCGAAGGTCACTTTCCAAGGTATGCTTCCTTATCATGGTATATAAAACTCTTTCATTTGAAAATTTTACGTCAACAATTTATTTATTTGTTATAATGCAGCTGTGCAGCCTCTGCGAAATATTTGCAAAGAATTTATGCTCTAAATATAATAAATTCTTATATTCAGTTATGCAGTCTCTGTTCCAGATACAGATTTTTATAATATATCTACTATCTATCTAATAGTACATATATTCCAATTGTGCAATCTCTGCAAAATATTGGCAAAGAATTTATGCTCCAAATATAATAAATTCTTATATTCAGTTATGCAGTCTCTGCGAAATATGTACAAAGAACTTATGCTCCAGATATAGATTTTTATAATATATCTACTATCTATCTAATAGTACATATATTCCAATTGTGCAGTCTCTGCAAAATATTGGCAAAGAATTTATGCTCCAAATATAATAAATTCTTATATTCAGTTATGCAGTCTCTGCTCCAGATATAGATTTTTATAATATATCTACCATCTGTCTAACAGTACATATATTCCAATTGTGCAATCTCTGCAAAGTATTTGCAAAGAATTTGTGCTGCAAATATAATAAATTCTCATATTCAGTTATGCAGTTTCTGCGAAATATGTACAAAGAACTTATGCTCCAGATATAGATTTTTATAATATATCTACCATTTATCTAACAACACATATATTCCAATTGTGCAGTCTCTGCAAAATATTGGCAAAGAATTTATGCTCCAAATATAATAAATTCTTATATTCAGTTATGCAGTCTCTGCGAAATATGTACAAAGAACTTATGCTCCAGATATAGATTTTTATAATATATCTACCATCTATCTAATAGTACATATATTCCAATTGTGCAGTCTCTGCGAAATATGTACAAAAAACTTATGCTCCAGATATAGATTTTTATAATATATCTACCATCTGTCTAACAGTACAT